GGTGCCCGCTCCTGGGGGAGGTGCCCGCCGCGGCCCGCCTCCTCCCACGAGGTGGCCCCCGAGTGTCGCCGCCCCGCCCTCGTGGACCTCCGGACCCGACAGGGCAGCCACGCGCGGCGGTGTCAGAGTTATAGTATTATATTTTAACCGTGCTAACTTGTCAAGTGCTGACTCTACTCCCGTTTGTACGTGGTGTTATTATTGAAATGTATTGTTTGAGCTCAAAAGGCCCGACCACCCCCCTTCGGGCTGCTATATATATATTTATTTGTAGGTATTTATATATTGAAATATAAAAGCCTAGATTTATGGAGTTTCCTCTAGATCATGTTATATTCTATATCAGACAGACTATTTTCTGTTTACCTTTTCCCTCTTCGTTCAGTATTTCGGTTGATTTCATCTCCTCCCTTCCAGGAACTGCAATACCAGTGACCTTGGTATATATTTTTTGATACTGTACACATGGATGTGTTGTTTCTATGTGCAAAAAAGAAAAAAAGAGAAAAAAAAAAGGTTTGTTAAAAGGCTAAACGAGCTCTCTAGAAACTGCTGCTACTAGAAACGTCTAAACTATAAGCTTCCAGTTATTACCTGCTTGAATGTAAATATTAAATGGAGATGTTGAAGGTGCATTTTTGCTGTTTGAGATGAGCGTGGAGGGAACGCCCGAGATGGCCGGAGCCCTCTCCTCGCCGCGCTTACGCCGTAGGTCCCGGGGAGGAAAGCCACCGCGTCCTCCGATGTCGCAGGACAGGCAGAGTGCACTGGTTTCGCGGGCGCCCGCGCAGGAGGGGTGACCCCGCTCCCCGGGAGGTCGAGAGGCGCTCGACCGAAAGAGGGAGCTCCCGCGGGGGTGCCCAGGGCACCGGCCGACCCCGGGGTCTGGGTAGGGAGCGGCGCGGAGCTAGGCCCCCGCGCCACACCCGCCGGGCGGTGACCTTTGTCCCTCTCCCCACCACCCGGGGCGCAGCGCACGCGGGGCCGGCCTTGGCGGGGCAGGGATGTCTCTTCTTAATAATCCCCGCCCGGCAGGGCAGGTTCGGCGGGGCGGGGCACCCCCTCTCCCTCTCCAGCGTCCCTTGCGGGCATCGCCGGCCCCGCCCCACCGAGGAAGCCGCCGAGGCTCTTTCTCTGCCAGGCTCGCTCCCCGGGAGCCACCACGCCAGAGGCTCGGAGCGCAGGCACAGCGGCAGCGCCGGGGCGGGGGCCGGGGGCCTCCCG